GGCTCAGTGGTAGAGCCCCAGCCTAGAATCCCCCAGTGAGGGGCTGGAAGCATGACTCAATGATAGAGCACTTACTTAGAGCTACAATAGAGCCTTATATTTAGGGACTCCCGGTTTCATCCCCTGTACCTTCAAATATATAGAGATGTAGTCTCCTCCAAAGTTGCTATTACAACCCCATAATGGAGGTGCCTCATGTCAAACAAGGTCTGTCCCTCTTCTACCATGTTATCCCTCTGTCCTTAGGCCCCAACCTTCTGTAGTCAGCAAAGGCCCCAGAGAGACTCCCGCTTGCTCAGCCAGCTTCAAACCCCTGGGGTCCATCCTGGATGTTATCCTACTGTCCTTAGAGGCCCCACCCTCCTGTGGTCAGCAAAGGCCCCCAGAGAGACTCCCGCTTGCTCAGCCAGCTTCAAACCCCTGGGGTTCATCCTGGAAGGGCCTTCAAAGGCCTTGACCATTCTTGAGTGGGTTCCAGGACAAAATCTGCTCTTGGAGGCAATTTAGCCAGCCACACGGGTGGAAAGAATGTCCCCATTTTCTTAACAGCGACCCCCTCTTGATTTATATGTGGGGGTCACTGTCCGAAGGCCCCTCCCCACGGATAGATCCTGAGTGGAAAATGAGAGGCCAAGAGCCAGGCGTCTGGCTGGGCTAATTATCCTCAATGAGATACAGCTGCTTGGGGGAGCCAGCTGAGCACCCAGGCAGGGCCAACTCCCTGCCCCAGCTCTCTGGGGACCCGAAGACCTGTCTGGGCTTGTAGCCCATCACCTACCTGGTCTGGTCAGGGTTTACCAAGCATTCTAGGAGATCCAGTTTGGCTAGTTTATAAGAAACCTGGAAAAATGGTCTCTATTGGATTAGCTGCTACCCTGAGCCATGATTGTCCCTAAGATGCCAAAGGACACCTGAATTCAGTCTTCTTTTGGGGAAATTGAAGACTAGACTGATCAGGTAGGCTTGGTGGAGTCCTAGGGAGGGTCCAGTCCTGAAATGAAATACAGTACCAAGTCTGGCCACACAGAGTGGTCTCCATCGGACTTGGGGCTTCAGGCTAGTTCTCTGGAGATCTTAGAGTTGGGCGGACTTTTTGTTGCGGTTTTTGTTTTTTGAGACAGGGTTTCTCTGTAGCTTTGGAGTCTGTCCTGGAACTAGCTCTTGTAGACCAGGCTGACCTTGAGCTCACAGAGATCTTCCTGCCTCTGCTTCCTGTGTGCTGGGATTAAAGGCCTGCGCCACCACTGCCCAGAGAGTTGGGCGAACTTTGACTCTACTGTACACCAGGACTATTGCAGGGGTCTAGGGACATTGTGGTGAGCAAAACCCCAGCTGAATCCCACTATTTTGGACCTACAATTCCAAGCACAATACCTGGTGGTCCAGCTAGGCTCAGTGGGGAAAGGCTGCTCATGAGTCTGACAACTTGAGTTCTATCCCAGAGGAGGAAAACAACTCACATAGGTTGTCCTCTGAACTCCACGTGAGCATGCGGACAGGTGTGTGGGCATGAACACATATGCTTGAGTATCAGGGATTCTGAGAGGAATTGACCCATTACAGGTGTCTGGGATGTAAGTCCGTGTCACTGAACTGAGGCCATAGCCAGGTTGGAGTAACAGAGTGAGAGAGTTCCAAACAGTGGAGTTGCCGTAAGCAAAGACCCGGTGTTCAGAGGAAGTAGCAGGAAAAGTAAAAGTGCAGCAAGTTCTTTTTTTGTCATTGTTTTGCAGAATTGAGGACTGAACCCAGGGTTTTAAGCTTACCAGGCAGGTGCTCTACCACTGAGCCACACCCCAGCCCCTCACTGGGGGATTCTAGGCAGGGGCTCTACCACTGAACCACACCCCAGCCCCTCACTGGGGGATTCTAGGCAGGGGCTCTACCACTGAACCATACCCCAGCCCCTCACTGGGGGATTCTAGGCAGGAGCTCTACCACTGAGCCACACCCCAGCCCCTCACTGGAGAATTCTAGGCAGGTGCTCTACCACTGAGCCATATCCCCACTGGGAGATTCTAGGCAGGCAATCTCCCACTGAGCAACAACTCCAGACATGATTTAGTGTCCGCATTGACAGGGTCTTACTAAGTTCCTCAAGAGCTTACACAGTTCAACAGGTGCTATTGATGTCCGCTGCACTCTGCACTGTAAACAGATGAAGAAGAGGAAGAAGGAAGGTGAGTGCCCTCCCCACATGCACCTCCTCTTCAACCTGTGGAATCCCTTTGACCTCTACACTGGTTGCCCAGCGTCCCTAGTGAGCCAGGGCCCCTGCAGGATGGCAGGCCCTGCTGTCAGGGAGCCGGAATCTCAAGGAAGGGGTGTCAGAAGTTACATGAGGCACTCACTCCCTGTAGCCCTGGCCCTGTTTCCTTCTATGGGACAAACGGGTCTGACAAGTCTTCAGTGGTGTCGACAGCGCTCAGCTCAGGATTTCCAGGAAAGCCAGTCCTAGAAAGCAAGGAACTGGGCTGTGATTGAGGGAGGACTCTTCTAGAAGCCTCGGCCTTCTCCCTAGTGGACAGTCTGCTGATAACCCAGGCCAGGTGATGCAGGCTGATGGGGGAACCCCTCTCATCCCCTCCCCTGAAGGGTGAGAAGGTCAAGGGCTGCATACTTCCTAAGTCTGTCTGTCTGACTGTCCATCAGTCCCTCTCTTCCTCCCTCCTCTCTCTTTCTTCCTTGTCTCCCTGCCTCCCTCCTTCTCTCTCTCTCTCTCTCTCTCTCTCTCCTTCTCTCTTTCTTCCTCTCCTATTGTTTTGTTTATTGAAGACAGGATCCCACAGGCCTAGTCAGCCTCAAACTTGCAATCACCTTGGGCCGAACACTCTGAATGTGTGAGTCAACATAAATCCTTCCCCCAGGAAGTTGGTTTCTCAGCTGTCTTGTTACAGGGGCAAAAAAAGTAGGGAGCCAGGGAGATGGCTTAGCATGTGGAGGCACTTGCTGCCAGATTTGAGACCTCAGTTTGAGTACCAGGACCCAGATGGTGGAAGGAGAATGTCAATGCCCCTTATGTCCTCTGACTTCTACATGTATTCTTACTCACATACATATACATACATACATACATACATACATACATACACACACTAATTTTTTAAAAAATAACTATCATGTTTTCTATTGTTACTATGCAGGGTTAAAAATAGCATACAGATACACACACACACACACATATACACACACACATACACACACACACACACACATACACACACACACACACACACATATACACACACATACACACACACACATACACACACACACACACACACACACAATGGGGATGGGACAGATATGAGACCTTTGTCAAAATCTATGTGCCCCCAGAATCTCCTGGCCTCTGTCTGATCTTTTTGCATTCTTGATGGTGTCTTTGGTGGGCAGGCATTTCTAATCACATGAAGTCCCCTTTAAACTAGGCTAGTCCATCTTCAATGCCATGTGTGAGGATGAAGAGTTCTCTGCCTACCCTTTAAATGTCCCCCTGTGGATCTCTCCTCCTCTCCAACTTTGCCTGTACCCCCCTGCTTCTGCCTAGTGTCTCCCCTTCTGTCCCACCGTCCTCCCCACTCGTGTCCCAGCTTTGCTCCATCTGAGGTCCTTTCTCCCCATGGTCCTCATGACCCTCCTGCACATGAGCAACCCTGTCTCATCCGGGCGCCTCACAGACGCGAGGTGCTCAATAAAACCCCCATCAATGAAGACAATGCCCTGTGGGCCAGATGGGGGGCATTAAAACCATCCATTACTTCTAAACCCCAGCTCATCAGGAACAGCTGAGCAGAGCTAGAGACCCAAACGTTGTGGAAACTAGCAAGGAGGGGAATGTTCCACTGTCTTCCCGACCAGAGCACTAACCACGCAAACATCACCCAGATGGACATCTCTGTGATATTTATTCCCACTTCAGCCCTGGGCTCCGGGGGTGATGGAGCCTGTTTTCCCTGCACACGCTAGCAACGGGAGCCGTGCGCTGGTCCCCCGACCCAGCCAGTCTTGGCTGACTCCAGGTATGGAGGAGGTGCATCTTCTAGTCCTTCTCCTCGCCGTGTGTGATGACATAGCACAGATTCCTGTAGTCTAAGTTGCCACAGACATCGGGTGGGAAAGCTGCAAACATCTGCTTGACCTGGGAGGGGGAGCAGAGTGTCAGGTTAGACAGGGGTGATGGAAGAAAGAGGAATCAGAGCAGGAAATCTATAGGAATCCCCCTCAAAGCCCACATACCTCCTCCTCACTGAAGCGGTCAGCCTGGGTCATGAGCTTTTCCTTAATGCTGGCGGTGGAGAGAAGCCATCATGTCTTGTGGAAAAGCTGCCTGGTGGCCATGTGGACACGAGGTTCCTAGCGGAGCTCTGGCCTAGGGGACCCCAGCCTAGGGCTGATTCTCCCAGCCCCAAAGCATCTCTTTGAGTCCTAACTGCTTCTCTGGCAACCTGTACTCTTCTAACAACCATGGGGGACAGAATGAAATAATCTTGAGACTCAACATGACCTGGAGGCCACTGAAATGCCCAAGGTTTGCTAACCATCAACCTAGACTGCTGGGTGTGGGGGGGACTCCTTTGTCTTTTGTCTAGGGATGGAACCCAAGACCTGGGCCATGTTAGGGGAATGCTCTACTGCCCCTCACTGGGGGATTCTAGGCAGGGGCTCTACCACTGAGCTATGCCCCAAGACCCTCACTGAATCACTCAAGGCAGACACTCTACCCTCAAGTTATGTCCCCAGTATTCTTTACTTTCTTTGTTTTTCTTCTTTTCTCTTCTTTCTTTTTCTTTCTTTGCTTTCTGTTGTTGTTTTTCCTGTTTGTTTTTCAATAAACAATTCCTCTGTGTAGCCCTGGACGTCCTAGAACTCATTCTGTAGACCAGGCTGGCTTCAAACTCTGAGATCTGCCTATTCCTGCTTCCCAAGTGCTGGGATTAAAGGCTTGCACCACCTGGCTTCTCTTTACTTTCTGTTTTGAGACATCTCACTAAGTTTCCCAGGCTGGCCTTGAACTCATTCTGTGATTCAGTCTGGTCCTGCCTCTCCTACCTCAGAGTAGCTGGGATGACCAGCCTGGCCCCACCTCGGCTTCTCCTTGGTGTCTCTTCCAACTGGTTTTGGCTGTCAGCCAACCAGTATTTCCCAGACTACGTCACACTGTTCAAGAGCATCATGGGAAGTTGCAGCCCAGTCTTCCCATGGGTCTCTTTAGAACTCGATTCCTGGGCTGCTAGGGCAAGAATCCCCTTTATCTAGGGAAAACCGAAGCTTGGGCGGGCTTCTGATTTGCCTACCATCCCAGAGGGAGGATGTGGCAGGGTTGGGCCTGTCTCCTTGAGATCCAGGGAAAAAATTACTGGAGGTTGGGCCAGCACCCAGTTCTGCATGAGAACTTAGGTCCCTTGCAACTGAGAAGAGGCCTGCAAGCTTAAGGAGGCTCTGTGGGCAAGGATGGGAACAGAGAGCTCAGAAGAGCCTCTGCTCTCAGGACATGCTCCGATGCCGGCGGTGGCAGGCCCTGCCTGGTTAGGGAGTAACACACATTTTCCATTGTTTGTTACTATGGGACAGACACAGTTTCCAGGTTGCCAAAGCTGGGGACTCTGCAGAGACTCTGTTTCAACCAGATCCACTTCTGTGGCCTATCTGGCCAGCAGCCCCGTGTTCAATGTCCCCGCAGACCAGGACTGTTCCTTCCATTGCCAGAGTGCATGCCCCAGGGATGTCCCTTCCTCTCGCCCACCTCAGTGCTATCTTCATATTCCTGGGAGTCCCAGTCATGCCAAGGGTTTATCCTGGCTCCTCAAGAGTCAGGAATGAGCCACAGACCCCACGGATAGGATTTTGGTTTGACGGACCCTTGGAAGTCCCTCTGCGCTTCAGGGAGCCTGACTCAGAGCCTCTGCAGACGGTATATAAGAAGGGATGTGCACGTGTGTCTCCACCAGACTCCATCCGCCCTCTCCTCCACCCCATTGGGGGAAGCTCTTGTAGAGGGCCAGACCCCTCAACACCTGAACTCCTAAAGAATGGCTGTCACTGGATACCCGTCTACCCTGGCTAAGGAGGGGCCATCTCACCAGCCAGGTTTGAAAGGGCAGCTTGGAGGTTAACCCAGTTTCCAGGGAGCCTGACTTTGGCTCTTTGTCCCTCCTGCTCTCAGTAGAACACGCTCGTGTGTGTGTGTGTGTGTGTGTGTGTGTGTGTGTGTGTGTGTATTGCACAGGCCACCACAGCGGAACCCATCTCTATGATGGCAGCCCGATGGCCTGCAGAACAGCTTCCAGCGGACACTTTTTACCCTGGCGTCCCAAGCTGAGCTGGTCACTGATGTCCCCGTCTGGTACTGTCCTCTCCTCAAGCCAGTGTTCACTGGCCCTGGCTTCTGGATCTTTGTTGCCAGTCCTTCCCATTCCACCTCATATCCATGGGTCATAGCCTCCCCTCTGCTTCTTCCAGGCTCCAGGCTATTCCTCTCCCCCCAGGCCAGTTTAGTAGTCCAAGCACACTAAGCCAGGATTCATGCTCTATTCTCACATCTGAAATTCCATTCCCGCCCTACACTGGACAACCTGTATACATCCTTCAAGCCCCTCCCCATGCCCAAAACTCGGAAGCACTCCTTGACCCATGCCACACTGCCCATCCACTCACACACACACACAGGGAGAGAGGGCACACCAAGGCCTGGGATGGAGGGAGCTGTGCTGGCCTGGCTGTGGCCTCTAGCCACTGCATGGGATGTTAACCCTGCTCAGGGGAGTTCTGACGGGAAAAGAGGCAGGCCTGACATCCACTCTGGTGTGCCTCAGCTGAGAACTTACAAGTCAGCCTTGACAAAGCCTTTTCCTTCCGTGTCAAACACCTTGAAGGCATGCAGTATGGTTTCTTCCGGGTCTGTGCCTGGAGATCAAACATACAGAACAAGGTGAACGAAAAAGGTAGTGAGGGCCTCGCAGAGGTGGTGCCCAGCTGAGCAGGAAAAGGGGCAACGACCCCAGCTTCCACTGAGCCACACCCACAGCTCTTCGTTGGGGGGTTCTAGGCAGCTGCTCTACCACTGAGCCACACCCCATAGACTCTGAATCATTTATTTCAGTAACAATTTCCTTCAAAGCCGCAAAAGTGGCACAAGAGGAACTATTCCGGCTGCATTGTCACCTAGCCCATGGGCCCACCTATCTACCTCGGGTAACCCGATCTTGAAGACCTCACCAATGAACTCCAACCTCAGCCCCACGGTCAGAGGTCTTTTCCCTTCACTTACAGCCTCTGTGTGTAGCTTGAGTCAAAAATGAATCTCATGGTTGCTGCTCCCTCACACCCAGACCTCAGTGGCATTCAATCATATCGGCTTTGAGACCTTGGACAAGTCATCTGACCTCCCTGAGCTTCAGTTTCTTCATCTGTGAAATGGGGGCCACTGTCAGGAGAGTGAAGGGCACAGCGAATGCTCCGTCGGGGAATCTATGTGCAGTGGAGCAGGTTGTTGGCAACTAAATGTACGCAGTGAACCTAGGTTTCTGTAAAACCTCCAAGCTCTTCAGTTTCTATTGTACCACATTTGTGGCTTTGAAGAAAGTTGTTACCAAAATAAATGAATCTGAAGCTGGGACATGGTTCAGTGTAGAGCCCCTGCCTAGAATCCCCCAGTGAGGGGCTGGGGTGTGGCTCAGTGGTAGAGCCCCTGCCTAGAATCCCCCAGTGAGGGGCTGGGGTGTGGCTCAGTGGTAGAGCCCCTGCCTAGAATCCCCCAGTGAGGGGCTGGGGTGTGGTTTAGTGGTAGAGCCCCTGCCTAGAATCCCCCAGTGAGGGGCTGGGGTGTGGCTCAGTGGTAGATCACCTGCCTAGAATCCCCCAGTGAGGGGCTGGGGTATGGTTCAGTGGTAGAGCCCCTGCCTAGAATCCCCCAGTGAGGGGCTGGGGTGTGGTTCAGTGGTAGAGCACCTGCCTAGAATCACCCAGTGAGGGGCTGGGGTGTGGTTCAGTGGTAGAGCACCCCCAGGGAAAAGGCAGCAGCGCAAGGTTTGTCAACAGTGTGCCTGGTTAGTATGTTAAAGGCGCTAGATTCTCCCTCAGAACAAAAGAGGTGAAGTAGAATTTATGGGAGACACAGAGGGGGAAGATAAGGAGGAAGAAGACAGAAGGCATTTTTGTGCCACCAGAGAGCTTCAATACCCAGGTCTCTCTCTGAATTGTTGAGGAAACTGAGGCCCAGAGAGAAGGCCTCCAGTCTACCTGGACGGCAGCAGGTGCCCTTGGTCAGGCCTTTATCCTCATCATGCCGCCCACACCTGGCTCAGAGTGGACCTGGAAAGCCCCTCCCTCCATCAAGGCCCTGCACTGCCACGAGGTCAAAGGTCATTTTGCCACACTATGTACAAGACCAGCTGGCTGGTAGCTGCTAATGGCCTGGAATTTTATTTTGTTTTGCTCTGCTGTTGTTTTTTGTTGTGGTGGGTTTTTGTTTTGTTTTGTTTTGTTTTGTTTTTGACTGCATGCCACCTAGCCCAGGCTGGTCTAGAACTTGCTGTATAGCTGAGGTTGGCTTTGAACTCCTGATCCTCCTGCCTCCCTCCTCCCAAGTATTGGGATTACAGGTATGTGCCAAGAGACAGCTTAACAGATAGGCTTTAATAAAGTCAATGAATTAGAGCTACCAATCCATCTGTGCTCTGAGCCCAGCTCTAGGCCTGGGCTTCACCACATGGGCATAGAGCTCTCTAGCTCTCCCCATCAGACTGGGGCGGAGCTCGCTTATTTCCCCCATCAGAATGAATCAGGCCTGTCTGTGTCTCCTTCATTAGACTAAGTCAGGGCTCTGTGCCTCCGCCATCAGACTACATGAGGGACCTGTGTCTCTCTCCTGTAAGAATATTCCAGGCCAATGAGTGTGTCCCCTATCAGAACACACTTCTGTTCTGAATGTCTTCTCTATCAGATGGCTGTCACCTGGGATTAAAGGCTTCATCCCCTCTGAACAATAACTAGAGCCAGTGAGTCCATCCCATGTAGGCTTAGCAACAGAGTTGAGGGTAGCTTGAAGGTAGAGAGGCTAAAAGGTGCAGGGATGCTGATAGGGGCTGGCTGGAGTCCCAGCCTCCAAGGCCACCGCTTCCCAATTCTATCAATTAGCTAAAACTCCCCTGTCCCTCAAAAGAGTCTGGGCAGTTGGAACAGGCCTGCAGTTGGCCCCCATCATCATCCTGGGGACCAAGTGTTGGATTTTGCTAGCTCTGGCCTGGCTGTGGGACACTCACCTCAGTCAGTCACTCCTTGCCTTGTCCCCAGAGAGGGCCTCTGCTCCGAGGCCTACGAGACCCATAAAAAGCCCTGTGCAATGGCTCCCTGCCATTGTGGGCAGTCAAAGGACTGTCTCCTTGTCTCAATTAACGACTGCGATGGTGCCCGTCCCAGCCCACTGCCCTCCCTGCTGCCAGCCTCTCACGCAGCCCTAGACAAGTTTGCATGACAGACCCAGCTGGAGCCCCAGGCCTGGAACCCCAGCAAAGATGAAAACAAGATGCAGTTCGAGGTCCCCAGCAGGGCTTCGGTCGTCACTCTGACTTAGTCACAGACTCAGTGAGCCTCGTGCCTCAGTCCCTTGTTTGTAAAACAGGTCATCACAACTGAAAGTGGTGCCCCTTTCTGTGAGCACCCAAAAGAGGCCATAAAGGAACTACTGTTCATCTCCAATACACAGGTCACCCAGGGCTAGAGACACCATCCTCTGGCTCTACCACTGAGCCGCACCCCAGCCCCTCACTGCGGGATTCTAGGCAGGTGCTCTACCACTGAGCCACACCCCAGCCCTTCACTGCGGGATTCTAGGCAGGTGATCTACCACTGAGCCACACCCCAGCCCCTCATTGAGGGATTCTAGGCAGGGGCTCTCCCACTGAGCCACATCCCAGCCCCTCATTGAGGAATTCTAGGCAGGTGCTGTACCACTGAGCCACACCCCAGCCCCTCACTGGGGGATTCTAGGCAGGGGCTCTCTCACTGAGCCACACCCCAGCCCCTCACTGGGGGATTCTAGGCAGGGGCTCTACCACTGAGCCACACCCCAGCCCCTCACTGGGGGATTCTAGGCAGGGGCTCTACCACTGAGCCACACTCCAGCCCCTCACTGGGGGATTCTAGGCAGGGGCTCTCCCACTGAGCCACACCCAAGCCCCTCTCTAGACAGATGCTCTACACCTGAGCCACACCCAACCCTGAGTGAATATGCTAGGCAAGGGCTCTACTAAAATACAGAATGCAAATCAGCCCACTCATTTTTCACTCCCTCACTCTGTGAGAGAGGCCAGATCTTAATGTTAAAGTTTAGGGGCAGCCATAGCCCAGGGTGCTCCATTCCACCACAGAACCTCCGAGCTCAGGGATGTGTTTACAGAGGAGTTCCCCGGGCCAAGGAAAGGAGGATCAGAGATAACCCATCTTCTATCCCCAGACCTGGAGCTGTGCCTTAGGAATATGGAGCAGTTAGAACTGGATCTATTCAAGTTTTCTTTTGCTGGGGTACCTGGAGCAGGCATCACAAACTCAGTGAGTGTCCTCTGACTCCTCAACACTGAGAAAAGCTCCCCAGTTCTTTCCGGGGAGACAGCAGTGACCCCAGAACAGAACAAGACAAGTAACCTGCCTAGCAGTGGGGTCAGCCACAAGTTGATCTCAAGTGGGGCGGGATTAGAATGGGAGGAAGGCAGAGCAGACAGGTAGAGAGAGGAACTTGGAGTAGAAGTGGGTGGGTGGGTATTGTCCTGACAGTGGGCAGAGGCATCCCAAGGGAGGGGTCAATCACAGCACTCTCCATTGTGCACACAGAGGTGGAAACTGAGGCAGGGTCCGGGCCAATGTGTACAGCAGGGTATAGTATCTGGGAGTCTTATCACATTTCCACCCGTGGTTATATAACATAAGGGCCAAGCTGGTGGGTATATCTATTTCCTGCTCGCAGCCCTCTCCTGGACCCCCTAAAACCTCACTCACCCTTGAGTTTCTCCCCAAACATGGTCAGGAAGACTGTGAAGTTGATGGGCCCTGGAGCTTCCTTCACCATGGCTTCCAGCTCCTCGTTCTTGACATTTATGCGACCTGGAGAGGGAGAGGGGACAAGTTCAAAGACAGTTTCGCAGTCTCTCCTGCTTCTACTGCCCCACCCGCCTCCAGCGGGCACTGTCCATCTACTAGGGAAACTTCAGGGAAAACACTGGAGTCTACAAGCTGCTTCCTCCACCCTTGCCCCCCTTTCTGTCTATCCATCCATCCATCCATCCATCCATCCATCTTCCTAGAAAACAGAGCCATCCATCCATCTTCCTAGAAAACAGAGCCATCCATCCATCCATCCATCTTCCTAGAAAGCAGAGCCATCCATCCACTCACACATCCATCTATCCATCCATCCATCCATCCATCCATCCATCCATTCATCCATCCATCTTCCTAGAAAGCAGAGCCATCCATCCACTCACCCATCCATCTATCCATCCATCCATCCATCCATCTTTCTAGAAAGCAGAGTGAGCCACTCTGCATCTCCCTTTCACAGACTAGAAGAACAACAAATGAACAAACAAGCAAACCAAGGCTGGGAGTGCGTAGGGAGCCTCAGGTCTCATCATTCCTGGACATGGGAACCCTGGATTCTGTGTGGTCCCAGTGGGCACTCAGGTTCCCAGGACCTCAAAAACTCTACCCATATTGGTACCTTAGTTAATCAACTCCAGTTTTTCCCCAACCCCAGCTCTCTACTATTTTATTTTGAGACAGTGTTTGGCCAAGTAGTTCAGGCTATCAGTGAATCTGAACTCCACCTGCCTTGGTGTGCGAGTTTTGGGGTTACAGGCACGTACTACCACAGCCTTATGACCTCTCAGTGCCCCAAGGCCTTTGCATAATGTCAAAAATTATCTCATGATGTCCTCCCTAGCCACCGAGTCCTCCTGCCCCATGGAAACCTTCCCCTCCACTGTGCCCCTCGCTGTGGCTGCTTTGGCTTACCATTAGTTCACTCTAAAACCCAAGGTTCCAAACTGCCTCAGCTTCCGCTTTACCCACCCAGTGCAGCGAAGGTGTCCCTCAGGTCTTCCTTGTCGATGAAGCCATCCCGGTTCTGGTCCATGATAGTGAAGGCCTGATGAAGACATGGGCCATGAGCCACCAGGGCCGACCCAGAATAGCCGGTTCCACCCCCTCTCTCCAGAGTGCCCTTGGTGGTCCACGACAGGAGGACCCTCAATGAGGAGCCCCCAGCTTCTCAGAGCGCCAACCTAGTTTAGTGCGCACAGCATCCTGGGAACTGTAGTCCACCCTCTCTCAGGTTCTACCCTAAGTGCTCTGGGACTCCACACTCCTTGTCTCATTTCAAGAGCACAGTGACTCAGAGAGGGAAACTGAGGCTCAGCGAGGGAAACTGAAGCTTGGGGAGGGAAATCGAGACTCAGAAAGGGAAGGGCTCTTCCCTAAGTCACACAGCAAGTACAGGCTGAGGTAGAGTAGCGAGCCACCTCCTCAAGAGCAAAGGCAGCCCCAAAGACCTTGAAGAACCATGACAGTGTGAGCAGTCACTGTGGGCTCCTTGGACAACCTCTGAGAATCCTGGTAATCCTCTGTGATGGTTCGTCTCTGTTTTTGACACCTTGACTAGATTTAGGATCACCATGGAAACACCTCTGAGCGCATCTGTGAGGGGTTTTCTAGATTGGGTTAACTCAGGATGGAAAACCCACCTTAAGAGAGGATGGCACCATCTCATGGGCTGGCAGGGTTTCTCACTAAATGAAAAGCAGAAGCAAGCCGGGTGGCGGTGGCACACGCCTTTAATCCCAGCAGAGGCAGGCGGATCTCTGAGTTCGAGGCCAGCCTGTTCTACAAGAGCTAGTTCCAGGACAGGCTCCAAAGCTACAGAGAAACCCTGTCTCAAAAAACCAAAAAAAGAAAAAGAAAAAGAAAGAAAAGGAGAGGCAAGCAGGGCGCCAGCCTTCATCTCTCTCTGCTTTCTGACTGAAGGCTGTGAGCAGCTCACGTTCCTGCCTCCACACCTTCCCCAACCCTGATGGACAGTACCCTCAGACTGTGAGCTGGAGCTAGCCCTTCCTTCCTTAAGTTGCTTTCTCCAGGCATGTTGTTGCTGCAGAAAGAAAGTAGCGAATACAGGTGCCCAGTGTCCCCAGGGCCACCAACCAACCTCTTTAAACTCCTGAATCTGGGACTGGTCGAACATCGAGAAGACATTGGAACTGGCTGTACCTTCTGCTCTCTTCCGGGCTCTTCTGGGTGCCTGTGGGGAAGAGGTGAATCCTTGTGGCCACTGCTTCCTCCAGAGGTCAGCAGTCATCAGTGCCAGGCCACAGGTCCCAGAACACCATGGCCCCGGTACCATCGTCCTTCTTCCCTGTACACACAGCAGCCGGCTGGAGCAGTGGACCGAGATTCATAATTAGTTGTGACAGCTAATGACTGTCAACCCGACAGAGCCTAGGGTCACTATGGAGACAAATCCTGGACATGTGTGTGAGGAAGTTTCTAGACTAGTTAATGGAGGTGAGAAGATCCACCCTAAATGTGGGTGGGATCATCCCATGGGCTGGGGCCCTGAATTGAGCACCTGCGTTCACCTCTCTGCTTTCTGACTGCAGATGCAGCATGACCAGCCGCCTCATGCTCCTATTGCCATGACAACCGCACCTAGTGACAGACTGTATCCTCAAACTGGGTGTCAAAAGCCTGCCTCCTTTAGCTTGCTTTTGTCATATATTTTGTCCTAACATGAGAGGAGTAACGAGTACACTATAGTCTCACTTTCTCAGCTCAGGTAAGAAGTCTACGGAGCATCCACCGAGCAGGGTGGGGCCACTGCTCCTCACCCAGTCATCCACCCCCGTCCAGGCTCCCAAAGCAGGTGGATCCGAATGGGCACTTTCTATCCCCAGACCTTCTGTGGAGTTTCCTGAGCTCACTCCCATAACCCCCGACTCTGCTGGAATCTGGCCTTCTTCTCTAGTTGTAAAAACTTTCAGAATATTCTCATCACACTGTCTAGGCTCTTGGTCCCGCAAGATTCATCCTGGACAGGATCTCAGAGCTCCCCAGCCACTCACCTGGGTCCTTTCCCCACCCCAAACCCACTTTGAGCTGCCTTCTAACCCCAACATCTCCTCCTGTCACCCCAGAATGGGATGTGTATGTGTGATGTGTGTGGGTACGTGCCATAGTGTGTGTGTATGTGGAGGTCAGAGGACAGCTTTCAGGAATCAGCTCTCTCTCTTCTTCCACTGTGTGGGCACCAGGGGCATCAGGGGCATCAGACTTGGCACCTTCTACTTGCTGAGCCACCTCTAGGTTATATTTTTGAGACAAGATCACTCACTGGCCAGAGTTTACCTACTCAGCTAGGGTGACTGGTCTTTGAGCCGCAGGGATCTACCATCTCTGTCTCCCCATTGTAGTTACCTCTCTCCAACACTGGGATTGAAGCCCATGTCATCACATCCACATTCTTTTTTCCACCTGGATTCTGGGGGTCAAACTCGGGACCTCATGTTTACAGAGCAAGCACACTACCAACGCAGTTCTCCCCAGCCCCTTAAAGTGACCCCTGATGTCAGAGAGGAACAAAGGTCTGGGCTCAACCCTCTCCCCCGGCAGCCTGCTCCTCCTCTAAGCATTATTTAGTCCACCTAGCTGGGGTTTCTCCAGCTTCCCTTTTGCCACCCTAGCACCTGTGTGGTCTCCCAGCTCCACTCTGGGCACAAGTCAGGAGCAACAACCCAGTGGCTTATAATTAGCTTTTACTGGGTGCTAATCTGAATAATCCTTTGAAAGAGGGGGTGCCTGGCAAAGAGGCCACACGTGGGATGCTGTAAGCCTAGGAAATATTTATAAATTCCTTTAGATAGCATAAAGAAAAGAACTCCCCTGCAGAGTTCATCTCACATAATTACATATACATTTCCCTCTGATTAATAAAATATGATCACTTCCGTCAGCAGGATATTCTACTCATCCTCAGGACTGCAAGCCCCCCTCCCCGACACACAGATACACATAC